CCCTCCCGCCTCACCCAGGCGGGAGCAGTCATTCGATGATTTTCTCCCCTTAAAAAAAAGTGTAATAAATTCCAAGGTTTGAGCCTAAGCCATGTGAGTTATTGACTATCATATTAATTTGCATTTTGATACAATAGCCTCAAAGATATATTGTTTTTAATAATACTGTTACTTTAATTTAGTAAGACAAACTTACATAACTGCCTCGTTGGCCGAGTGGTCGCAAGTGCGACTGCCGGACAAGGGGTCTCGGGTTCGATTCCCGGGTCGGGCAAAGTATTATTGGGTTTTTAAAATTCTCAGTAGTAGCACGAAGTCTGGTTAAAAAAAAAATTAAATGTTTGTGTAATAAATTTGTCGCGGAGAACCTAACGGGTAACCGGGGCTCCGGCTCGACGTGCAGGAGAAGGAACGGCGTGGTTTTTAGTCAGTAAGAGTCTGACACTCCCTCCCGCCTCACCCAGGCGGGAGCAGTCATTCGATGATTTTCTCCCCTTAAAAAAAAGTGTAATAAATTCCAAGGTTTGAGCCTAAGCCATGTGAGTTATTGACTATCATATTAATTTGCATTTTGATACAATAGCCTCAAATAGTGAAAAGTGGGTGTTACATTGTACAGTGGCATTAAGTGCCGTAATGTGCACCTCTGCCTACCCCTTCGGGGATAAAAGGCGTGATATTATGTTATGTAAACTTACATAAGAATAATAATATTCAACTTAAAATCTAATTAACGAGAGTTACCAAAGATTTTCTCAAAACTTAGTATAAAAGTTTCAACCGCAAATAAATTACAAGTTCGGGGACCTTATTAAATATGATATAATATGTTATCTTGCAATAGTAAACTAACTTCATAATTACTCCATTTTAATGAGGCAAAGTTTTTGGTTTAATGGGGGGTAACTTGTAAAATGAAAGTTCATTTAAATTAGTTTTTATTAGTACTAAGATTGATCACAATGCGTCGGCGTCGTCCATTTGAAGGTTAACTTTTAAATGGTGTGCCAACATGGCTTTATTACGAGTTCGCGCTTTTAACTTCTCAAGTACCTACCTACATCTGATTGACAAACTAAAACGGATAATAAGAAGTTATTACTGATCAATCAACACAGTGAGACATTACATAACATCACATAACGTCACGCCTTATATCCTCGAAGAGGCAGAGGTGCACATTATGCCACTGTACAATGTAACACCCACTCTTCACTATTTATGTTACGACTGTTACGAGTCCCATGTAATAGATGGTGAGCCTATTGCCATATTCCGGGCACAGTCCAGACTCCGTGCTACTACTGAGATTTTTTTAAAACCCAGTAATTCTTTGCCCGATCCGGTAATCGAACCCGAGACCCCTTGCCCGGCAGTCGCACTTGCAATCACCCGGTCAACTAGGCAGTCAGACAGTGAGTTAATCGAACAAAATTGTAACATCAAAAAGTTCTATTTAACCTTTTTTAAATGACATATCACTAGTGATTGGCGTTCCATAAACAAAACTAAGTATAAAAATGGCCGCCTGATTTCTTTCTCACGAACAAACATGGAGTCTAATATTGCTAAAAGCCCACGTTGTGGTCCGTCGTCACGCGCCGGGCCCCAAGTTTCAATATTCGTAAAAGGCCACGACTATTCCGATAGACCACTATTTTCTTTTTTTTATTCCGTTTAATTAAAATAAGTGTAAAACTTGTTGGAACCGAGAAAATGTCTTTGGTAAGTAAGGTATGAATTTTTCAAATATTGTGCTAGGATTTTCTTGCGTTGAGATTGTCTTGTTAGACTAATTAATGTCTAGTTTATTAATACACAAAAACAACTGAATTTGATTGCGGCATTGTTGAGAATATTCCCTTAGCATAATTGTACATGTAAAATCTTACTTCCTACAAATAGGTAATAGGTAGGTACTATTGAATTGAATTAATAATGCAATTGAGAAAATGGTTATGTCCTTTAGGCATTCTTCCTATTCTTTGAAGAAAAATGTCATACCTACCTACAGGAAAGATTATCTTATGCATTAAATACAACACGCATTCATAAAAATATCATAGGTATGATATTTTCCGATATAATTCGAAAACTGAATACTATGAAATTAATATTTTAAGACGTTGGTTTATTGTAACAAAAAGAGGACGAACGCAAAAACCAATTTTCCAGTAACATTATATTGTAGAAATTTTAGTTTCATGTCTACAAAACGCTTCGTAGATAATTATTACAATAGTTAATTAAAACAGATTCGGTTCTGTTAGAAATTAGTACAAAATACAATGATTTAAATTAAATAAATACATTGTGTTTTCATAGTCCTTCATTCATTTCGCATTTAATTTTACTGGACTTATTTTACTTTGCTATTTTTGTGTGTATCAAGAATCTGTATTAACAGGGTTTCAGATTATTCATCTCTCAAATTGAAAAGTTTTCGATGTTTGACAATTTTTGGCGGAAAACGCGATTGCAAAAATGACTTTACTAATGAATCTCGACTACCTTTTTATGAAATAAAATATTTAAAATATGTTCAGTAATTTAGCTGTTACATACTTGGGTTTTGGAGCTGGGTTATTGAATGGTAGATTATCATCATAGACGTGTTGATTGAGATCACCGGGGTTATTTTAGTGATGTAAATATCCCACACTCTCTTGTCATTGTCCTTAAAAAGCTAGGCAACCTTTGAAGGTCCCTCCCACCATAAAAAGGTGAAACATAGGTACTAAACAAACTTGATTTCACACTAAATAACAATCGAATACGAAATTCTGCAACCAAAACAAGATTAAACACTCACTAAAAATAAGGTTTTTGTTTAACAAACTCAGTGTAACTCAGAATACTTAATACCTAAATCATGTACAATATATATAGGTAGGGGTATAGATAATGGGAGATCGCGTGCGACCGCCACTTACAGAACGGCATTGCCCTTGACAGAACGACAACCACACATCAATGTCAATAGGGCACTGATTACACTGTATTTTGTTTAGGAACTCGTGCACATAATTGCTGAGTAATATGAATTATGGGATGACCTTGGATTACGCCAGCATTGATATTGTTTTGATATTATTAAAGGAGATATATTTTATGGGAATGATTATTTCAGAGATTTTTTTTCGTTTTCTTGGCATATGATGCAAGCAAATAGGCACCGATGATCTGATAGTAGCGGCTGGTCTGGTAAGGGTCCATGGCCACCCAGGTAACACCGAAAGATTTTGCGTAAGCAGACGACATTCTGCCAGATAAAAATGATTATTTAAGATTCGTTCTATTTATTATGGAATTTTAGCAGAAAAACGAGCAAATGGATCACGCGATGGCAAGAACCTCCGTGTCGTTCTTGGAATTGACTTCCAATTCTTTACTCTATTAATTTCTACTCCTGGACACAACAAGGTACAGGTAAGCTTATTTGCATACAACATAAACAGACTAAAGCAAATTCTATTCAAGCCTATTATTTAAATAAAGGCTTGTAAGACAAAACAAGAAGTTCCTCAACAATGACTCCTTAGTTTATTTATCAGTCCTAAATAGTCAAAAGACAGAGGTTGTTTAGACAAAATCTGCTAAACAACAAAAGGACGGAAGGTTACAGGAAATATAGCCTTATAAATACAATAGAGATTCTATTGTGAATCCTCTGACGGTCTCTAGAACTCAAGTGTTTGACGGCAAATTGTATGGGCCCAATTACTCAAATTAGAAAATGTTTGTATTCCCAAAATTCGCTTCGTATTCGACTAGTACTTTGATTTAACAGTGCCATATTGGATTCTGTGGTTTGAATAAATTCTCGTATAAACGCCAATATAGGCGTTGTTTAAATTAAAAATGTTGTCAGCTCCAGTCTGAAATCGTTTAATTAAAAATATTTTTTGGATAATCAGTACCTATGTTTCGAAAAGGGAACCGTAATAAAATTTATCAATTCGATTTTGTATTTTAACGTATAAAGCATTAAAGGTTCCCAGGTCACTTAATACTGTAAATGAGAGCATAATACTACTCTAAACCAAACATTTAACATTCATTTAGAATCGAATTGTTGTATCATGAAATTCAATTTTAACCTTGTTTACAGTTCCTCGCGCAAAACGTTTAATCTCATTAAACCGGTCAGGACATTTATTAGACTTTAGCTTTTAGTTAAACTAATTTAACACCTCGTAGGGACGTGCCCAGCCCCTTTTGGTAACCGCAACACATGTTCAGGAATTAAAATCATACCATTCTAGAATAAACAGCTGGTCAACCTACTATGATGTGTAAATTTTGCCTGCGAATTTTCATTTTTACCACTTTGATATTAAGTTCAAATTCAATTAACGGTATTTTTCAGAATAGAATAGATTCATATGCTGCTGTACCTTTTAAGCAGTTGTCCACTATAGTCATTAGCAAAGTGTAAACTTTATGGCTAATATGTAGTTTTGTAAATGGTAGGACACAGCCCTAGAGACAGATGTGCGTAGTATTCATTTTGAATTAGTTTTCTTTGTATGTATTGTGGTTTTATTTTGCAAAACTACAATATTAATATCAGTATAGTATTTTGTAAGGATAGTTTAAACATGTGAGTGAAATAAGGCAGTTAGAATAGCACACAGTTACTGTTTATCTTTTTTTTTAATAATATTACAGATTAATTCTTCACGGACTAGGTCCGTGCCCTTGTCACGCAATTTTTTTTATTATAATACGTTTAATCAATTTTTATAAAGTAAAGAGGGAATCTACTTACACATTACAATTAACTACATCTATAATTATTACTAAAAGTATAAATTACATAATAATTAGGCATTATTTATTTATTTACTTGTGTGTGGGGTGTCACTTCTGTGTGCACCTCTGCCTACCCCTTCGGGGATAAAAGGCGTGATGTTATGTTATGTTATTTATTTATATTTCGAAGGCTTTATGAAATCAGCCCACTGTTTATCTTCAAAACCACATCCCATCCATCATCATCATATCAGCCATAGGGCGTCCACTGCTGAACCTAGGCCTTCCCTAACGACTCCGAAATATTTGTTGCCCTTTTTAGGGAACTATAACAAAATCAGTATCCCAAAACCACATACTTCAGACAACAACGGTCCATATACTACTAGTGTACCTAACCTAACGATACTAACACTAAAACACGTAGACAATAAATACCAGAGCACAAAGTTGCTACCCTCATTTGTCACGCAACTAAAAAGTATCACACAACATTGGAATACAGAAAAGAAAATACTGCGTGACCTTAGCCACTTTCTATAAATTCTGGTGAAGGTGTGATTGGCAGAGAGAAATGGCCACGATCCCATTGGGCTAGGAATGAATTACGTTGCCGATTTTTCTGACGAAAACCTTTCGAAATACACGTAAGTAAGGTACCGTCCTGATATATTGTTTCTTGTATTGGAAATTGCCCTTGGGAACTTAAGAGATAACGTTTTGAATGCTTGATTTGAAGACCTAAATTTTTGGAGCACCTGTACCTACATTTGAATCCGTATTAGTTATATTTATGACAATACGATTACATTTGGTGATGAAATTGCGAATTTTTATCGACACGTAAATTTCCCTGAAAATTGAACGATACTTGTAGAATATGTAAAATTTTTAAAGTGATAACGGGAATGTCTGGTCAAAGTCAAAGTCAAAATTAGTTATTTCAATTAGACCAGGAAGGCAGTTTTGAACGTCAAAACAAAGTATTTAAATATTTAAAAAAAAGTCACTATCGTCAGTCAGTCCTCTAGTGAATCTATTTGCTCGTTCCAAGGTGTAGATTCCTATGGAAAAGAACGAAAAAAAACTCCATAGGTTATTCTTTTTCAATCAGGTTCACAATACAATATTCTTGATTAGGTCTTGAGATTTGATTCTTACATAGTTCTATCTTTAGACATATTGATCAATTTGTATCTATAGTTGAAACACATTACATTTTATTTATGAATCATTTACCTGCATGAAATACATGTGTGTTGTTCATCACGTTTACTTAATTTTGACTTTTAACAATTCTGTGAAGTAGAGATCCCTGTTTTCATGTAATCCGATTACCTACCTGGTTTTTCGATCCTGATTAAATGAGTTGGAAAAATATCTCATTAAATACGGCACTAATGGCGTTCTGAATTAAGAGATATGTAAGTTACGACGTACATTTTCGAATATTAATTAACTAAAGGATTTTGAGATTCACTGGAAAGGTCAAAGCTACAAAGGAACGACATGAAAGTATTGTAAAAGGCGACTGGTATGTCGATAAATGTCAACCGTTAAAATATTTGTCAAGGAATTCATTCGAAATGTATTACGTTTGCTTCAGCTGGAAAAAGGTATGACGATAATGCAATTTGTATTTTGTTCAGTACAAATACACACCTTAATTTTTTTTCGTGATGCAACATTTTATGCCTAACTGTTGTAGTCATGGGTTTTGAACACTATTATGAACAACTCAGTCTACCCCATTGAAATATGAAATACACTAGCTTTTACCCGTGGCTTCGCTCGCGTCACAAAAGGATAAAAAGTAGCATATGTGACTATCCATCCCTTCAATTACCTTCAGTTAAAAAATCACGTTAAGTACCTTCGTTTTGCCGTTTAAGACAGGCAAAGAAACAAATAGCTGTTTACTCGCGTGGAATTCGGTTATATCGCGCTTTTTAGATTTTGCCTAGCTTTTCCAAGACTCAAACTATCTTTATACCAAATTTCTTCAAAATCCGTTCAGTCATTTAGCGTGAAAGAACAACAGGAGTTATTTTCGCATTACCACAAATACCATCCTCCCATTTCAATTTAAAAGACTTCTATTTCCTATAAGGGTTTCATAATTATGCAATGTTAAACCAAAACTGAGTGGTAAACTATATTATACGTTTTACCTTTGGGAGCAAAAACGTGCAGATTTTGGGCACTGGATACCCGGGAACACGCTACATAAAGCTGACCATGCGAAAAACAATGTTTTTCTAAGTGTACTCCAGCAACCCTCATAGTTTGGCCTTGTGCTTTATTAATGGTCATTGCAAATGAAACCTTTATAGGAAATTGAAGTCTTTTAAATTGAAATGGGAGGTCCGTTGGAATAATCGGAATCCGAGGAATGAGTACACTTTCACCTTTTGCTGCGCCAGTTAAAATAGTTGCTGTAATAATATTCCGCCCAAGATGAGTGACACGCAGCCTGGTACCATTACACAGTCTAGGTGCATCAAGATTACGCATGAGCATCACCGGAACCCCTACCTTTAATTTTAATTTATGAGAAGGCACCCCAGATAGTTCCAAAGAATTTAAGAACTCTACAGGATATGAAGTACTATGGTCTGTTTCTACTACTGTGTCTACAGATAAATATTCAGTAGTTTCCCCCACAACTTCATCCAAAATATAGTCATTTATTTTAGTGACCGTTTCATTTTTTGGTGCTAATATTGCGCGTTCGCAGAGCCATTGGTCATCATGTATATTATCGTGTAAGTCAGTATAAACTTTTGCTACCAACTCCGATTCGCTGCCCACAACGTTACTAAACTCTTCCGTTAAAGTAATCATTCCCTCTGCATCTACTGTCATTTTCCCGTCACCGATATTTAGCAATGTTTCTGCGTAATGACCCGATTGAATGTCGTTGAATAATCTCACTCGCATGTTTGTGGTTAATTGTAACTTTATGACATGGTCCCATAACTTAGACGATTTTAAGCAAGCTCTTATTTCATCTGCTGGAGTCCCCCTTTGTATGACTGGTAGTGTTTGACGGAAGTCACCTGCTAATAAAACTACCAATCCTCCCATTATGCTCTTGCAGTCCCTTATATCCTGCAAAGTCCTATTGAGAGCTTCAATAGCTCCTTTGTGCGACATGGTACACTCATCCCAAACTAACAGCTTACACTGGCGCAGCATCGCGGCCCGACCACTATTTTTACTAAAATTGCAGGTTGGAGATTCCTCTTGAGCAAGATTTAGAGGCAGTTTCAATACGGAGTGCGCAGTTCGTCCTCCAATGAGCAGCGTGGCAGCAATTCCAGAGGAAGCAACGGCTACTGCAATGTTTTTATCCTTCCTGACATGAGCCAGAAGAAGGTTCAGCAAAAAGGTTTTTCCAGTGCCCCCCGGAGCATCAAGAAAGAAAAGTGCACCATTCCTTGACTCTATGCAGCGTGTTACTTCGTCGAAAATAGTTTTTTGCTCCGGTAACAATTGTGGGACCATGTTATTTACTTGCTGTTGCAGTATAGTGACATTATAATCTAGCTCTCTGGCGATGTCATTTACGCTTTCCTCTGATCGTTGTGGGCTAGTTATTCCAAATTCACTTAGTTTTTTACCAGTTATTTCCATTGTTTTATTTTCTATTTTAGTGAGAGCCTCGTTGTAAATAAAATCATTGTACGTGATGTCCGGGTGGGTCATCTGCAATCGACTTAATATATCTTCTGCCATATCATTTTTATATTTTTCCCATAGCTGTTGGGGATTTGAAACGCCGCAGGTTGAGATCAAGGTTGCAAACAACTCTCTTATTTTTGTAGGTGATCTGCATTGTATTGCTTCTATCATGGTTTCCTCCCAGTGATTATCATTCTCCAACAGACCGAGAACTTCACATGCCTCTCTGTATGTTGCGCACTCTTGTCCGTTCACAATTTTAAGGTCCCTGTGGCTAGTTGGTCCACGAATATGGTGTAGGAGCATTCTTAAACAAAAACACTCAAAATTGCACACGTGAACAGTATATACACGACCAAGAGCATCCCCTGATTTTACCCCGGGCCAGTTTTCTACTGGGGTGCCTTGAATGCGACGTTTCCACTCTTTTCTAGACGCATTCCATGTGTAGTATCGGGGAACCTCTGAATATAAAAGGGTTTTGGCAAATGGGTTGATTTGGCAAAGCTGGAAAAATGCTGTCAATGTTGTCATTGGTGGAGACGCGATCCTTTCATAAAAATTGTTTTCATTATAATATACACGCTCTCCGTTTTCTAAATGCACGGCCAAATGAGTGACAGTTGGGTGCCTTTCATGTAATGGGAATCCGAAAAGTCGCCATGCTGCCTCATTGCTGCTCACATAACGCCCCTGTTGGAAAGCCTGCACTTCGTTTATGACAGATGATCCAGCTTCCTGTATAAAATTGAACACGGCTTGATCGGTTCCTTTGTTAATATATTTACAAATATATTTTATTGCGCGCACGGAACCGCAGGCCTCTACATTTATATGGGCATTAAATATTTTACATAAAATTGGCGAGTACGGTACAATCCAACTATTGTCCATAATTTCAAAAGCTCCGCTGCGGGTTTTGATAGTAACCGTTCGGCCTCCGTCTTCAGGTGATCTTCTTCTGTATAACGGATAACCCTGTTCATTGTGGATAGTGTCTTTTATAAGTGAGCGTGGGTACTTTTTTGTGCATTTTCCCTCCTTCATACACGGTGACGTAGGGTTACGTGTGCCACAGGGACCATGTATCATGTTTTTAACTATAGTGTCGTGCAACTCCTTATCTCCTGTAGGATCAGGAATTTCAGCGTTAATCAGATTGTCAATGTGTGTAGGTCGCAGTTTCTCCTTGAGCCAAATCAAAATGTGAACATGGGGCAGCCCCCTTTTCTGCCATTCGATGGAGTACATATAACATTGCACGTCGCCAAATACTTTACCTTTGGTAATGACACCCATAAGTTTCTGTACTTTTAATCTGAATACTCTAGCTACCAAGTCGTGTCTGTCAATTGGTTTCTGACCTGGCATTAATTCATTTGTTATCTCCTTCCAAGATGGGTTACAGGTGAATGTAACAAAGAGATCGGGACGGCCGTGAGCACGTACGTATGCAAAAGCATCTTGCGTATATTCATGTAAATATCGCGGGCTATTGATAAAAGTTGATGGGAGAATGACCATCTTTCCTAAATCCCTGGGATTTACATTGGCATCGTTACTTACTGCATCTTGCAGGTGAATGTATTGTTCAGCTCGTAATTTCTTTTGGTTCAGAGTTATATAACGGAGGCGCTCGCTCTCTGTTTTAACCCACATGTCCACTAAAAACTGATGGAAAAGTTGCTTAAAACGGGGCAGCAAGTTAAAACCATTCTCACGCAACATCATATGATAAGCATAAAAATTCATGCAGGATACTTTTTTATTAGCCATGGGTTGACCTGTAGTTGGGTTGATTAATGGCAGGTCAAAATGGTAACCTTCCTGGCCTTTGCTGAAAATCAAGGGATACTGAAGGGCGTCATAGAACTTGTGAGTATCGGGTACGCGTGTCAAAGTATTATTATGCGCACGGAGGACGATGTCGCGTGATGAAGAAAAGTCACCACAAACCACTGCAGCAACATCATTGATGAGAGGCGCATTGAATCGTCTCTCGTGTTCTCCGTGCGGAGTGCGATCGGCATGAATAACCAATTTGTACTGTTCGTGAGGCATGCGGTCTAAAGCCGTTTTAAACGTATTGATAAGTTGATTATGCTCATGCAACATTCTTTGGATTTCTACTACGACCTCCCTCTCAACTCCTTGAATGTACTGACATCGCCGATCCGCTTCATTATCTTCATCTCCCATGAAATATATCTGAAGAAATTTATGTTGTTCATTGGCCGCGGGAAGCAAAGAACCGATCCTGTGGTAAACTTGGCCCTGGACAGTAAAAGTTGGTGAAAAACCAGGCATGATTATTTCCCGATCTACCCCGAAAGATGTCATCTGGAAACAGGAATTATATTTTCGAATCCTATTTAAAAAGCGCCGTGATTCATCAGAGTCAAATAAAAGAAGAGTTTTGAGGGGTTCTTCTGGTGCATCTAATGTAGGAATACGTATTTTCCCATTGAAGCAACATAGACCTGCCGTTTCGTCCTTCCATTTAAGGGCATCACAAAACCTACACTTTTTATTCATTAACCCGATGACGACCAAGGAATGGTTTTTGTAATCGATCAAAGGATCGTATTCGAATGCAGTATTATTAATCACAGACCAACTGTTTCTCATGAAAGCTCGACGCCGTTCAGCTTGCATTTCTGCATGCGCGGTTCTTCTCTCCAGAGACTCTTCTGGAGTCTCCGCCATTCTAGAAGCTGCCTGTCGCTCAGCTTGCTCCTCTAAACGTTGTTGCGTTTGAAGAGGTGTCTCATTAGCTCTCAAAACAGCTTGTCTTTCAGCCTGCTCCTCTAAACGTAGCTGCGTTTGAAGAGGGGACTCTAACGCCCTTAGTGCTGTCTGACGTTGAGCCTGTTGTGATATACGGACTTGAGTACGAATATCATTCTCAGAAGCCCTCAAAGAAGCTTGGCGAGTGGCTTGCTCCTCAAGTCTTTGCTGGCGCTGAGATGGTAGCTCAGCCGCTCTCGAAGCAGCCTGACGCTCTGCTTGAGCGCACCTTCTTAATTCAGCATGGAGAGATGATTCTTGAGATCGGGCAATTTTCATTGCCCGAGCTTTAGATGAGGTGCTCGACAAATTAGATTTGCGTTTGGAAGGCATTTTAAAAATATGGGTAAATTAAAAATTTAAAAATACTAACTAAAACTAACCTAAAAAATAAAATACAAAATAAAAAGTAAACTATAACAATCTAAACGACAAACAAAGCGACGTAATTCCCTATCGAAAACCTAACTACTTTAGACATCTACTTAGAATTAGAAATAAACCACTTCACTAATCTAACCTAAAATCAACGTACAGTGAAAAAAGCGACTAAAAACGACAAAAAAAAAACTTTATACAATTATGAATAATATCTATACCTAGAAAAACAATACTTGAATATTCAAACCTACAGAGCGAACGAATACTAACCAATCAGGGTGGTAGATGCGTACACCGGAATACGTTTGCTATGGAAGCTCGGAACCTATACTTTCGCCGGTAACGAAACCATAGCGCCATCTAACTCGATCCTAACGCCATCTATCGATCGTTGAAACAACAGCGTACAATATAATTGCTAATTGTTGAGTATTGTAGCCACTGATTTCGTGTACCTTTAACAACCTAAAATCTCTAAAATACGCAATTTAATGTAAAATGGTTAGAACCAAAATTTTAAAGCGAAAAATATTTAAAAAATAACGCTACCCCATTTTATAAACACTCAGCTCCATCTATCGCCAAGTAGCGTAACTACTACATAGACACCAATTTCGTGTACCTTTAACAACCTAAAATCTATAAAATACACAATTCGATGTAAAATGGTAGGAACCAAAATTTAAAAACGAAAAATACTTAAAAACACAACGTTACCACGTTTTTAAAATGACATATAAAACAGCAAATAAATGAGTAGAAAAGTGCACCGAATAATTGTAGATAGCGCCATCTATCGCCAAGTAGCGTAACTACTTCATAGACACCAATTTCGTGTATCTTTAACAACCTAAAATTTATCAAACACACAATTCAATGTAAAATGGTAGGAACCAAAATTTAAAAGCGAAAAATACTTAAAAAACACAACGTTACCATATGAAACAGCAAATAAATAAGTCGAAAAGTGCACCGAATGAGTGTAGATAGCGCCATCTATCGCCAAGTAGCGTAACTACTATATAGACACTAACTTCGTGTACCTTTTATAACCTAAAATCTATAAAATACACAATTCAATATAAAATGGTAGGAACCAAAATTTAAAAGCGAAAAATACTTAAAAAACACAACGTTACCATATAAAACAGTAAATAAATGAGTCGAAAAGTGCACCGAATAAGTGTAGATTGTGTGAAATTTCCAATTAGTAGGTAATTCGTTGAATTGTTTTAAATGGCATACAGCGCCATCTATACGAATACACACAGCGCCATCTATACCAATACTTTTGTTTTTCCTCGGAAATATCAATTTTTTTTGTGTTAAAAAGTACCCTATTATTTAATCCGGACTTCTAACTTTACGTCTGCAAAAATTCAAAGCAATCGGTTGAGTAGTTACGGCGTGATGGTGGAACAAACAAACAAACTCACTTTCAGATTTATAATATTAGTAAGGATTATATTGTTAACAATATTACGTTCCAGACAAATCTCGTTAAAAATATAATTTAGTTTAGTTATTCAGTAAACAGAAGCTTGTTTGTGACAAAATATGATTATATAACCAAAAACATTTTGGTTCTTGTTTCCCCGTCCCTTTAGGCATTGTTTCTATTCTATTACAAATCAAAGGTTTGTCCAAAACTCTTCAAGGCATGTCCTTGTATAAGATAATTAGGGATGTAAGAACCTATTTATGTACGTCGACAGATTTCAATCTAAGATTGAGATTTGAATTATTGTATGGCCATTGTCAAATATTTTTTTTTTATTATGGCATAAGTCGGTAAACGAGCAGACGGATCACCTGATGGTAAGCAATCGGCGCCGCCCATGGACACTCGAAATACCAAGGCGTTATAAGAGCGTTACCGGCCTTTTGGGAATTGGGAATTGGGAGTTTGAGGATGTGGAAGATTCGAGGATTCGGGAGACGGGGACTACGAAGAGGATAAATGGACCTCCGATAACCTCACTCACACGACGAAACACAACGCAAGCGTTGTTTAACGTCGGTTTTCTGTGGGGCCGTGGTATCACTCCGGTCGAGCCGGCCCATTCGTGCCGAAGCATGGCTCTCCCCACTTAAAATGCTCATTGCTTCATTGAATAGTTTATAGAAATGCGAAGTTGATCTTAAAATGTATACGTCTCAAATTGAGAATCCGTTCAGCCGCCGCGCCGTATTGCAAAACAGCCCTCCTCATTTTGAAGACATTATTTATAATAGCTATAATAGTCAATGTGATTAGCCTGCCTTATTTATCACTTTGACCTAATTATCTAGATATTATGTATAATGACCAGTCATTATGAATAATATCAAATTAATCACTTTGGCTTTAACAATAAATGGAAGTCAAAAGATGTGTAATTATATTTTTTGTACTTACTTGTCGTCCATCTGACGTCTTAAAAGTCACATTGTAATGAGGTTAAGCCTATAAGGACACTCACAGGTCCCATTACACTCAGTATCTACTAAAATATTCTGACGACCTAATAACCCAAGTATGCCTGCTTAACACTAAAATTCCTTTTTCCTTTGAAGTCACGAACATTGAGGATTTACATTGGCAGTGCTCTCTCCTGGTCTAAACAGATGCAGGAGGTCAGTCGCAGAATTATTGCCTTGGCGGGCTCCTTGAGCCGTCTTCGGATTTTTTTACCGACTACTACTAAAATTACATAAGTACAATCCTCACTTCTGTCAATCCTTGACTTTGCTGATGTCACCCAAGAACTCGGAGTCAGCTGAGGACCAAATAAAAACTAAATATCCAACTACATATTATTTATAATCTCGTCCTTACTATCTAATCCTGCATACCTTCATTTAAACTTCATTCAATAAAACATTCTGGATACCTTCATTTAATCCCGAAAAGATAAGAATAAGTAGTATAAGTTCGATCAGTACAAAATCGGCAACTAGATATATCCACCCGTTCCACATACAAAGATCAAACTATTAAATCAATTTGCGACGTTTTATCCTTATATCAAGAAATGCGAACATGTACAATAACAGGACCAACAAAGGACCAAACAGACCCTTTAGTCGTCAGCTAACAAACGCCTACGAGGTTCAATAGAAACGATAATATTTGTTGGAGACCCTACAATATTCTACTGAAGCTACCTATTCCAATTACAACAGTAATTGGTCTTTGGCTCCGAGAATGGGTCTCCGAATGTGCTCAACTGATAAGAGGTCAAATTAACACTGAATTGGAAGTGTTTTCGTCATTATTGTGACGTTTCTGGCATCTCTAAGATTGTTTTCATTGGAATTTGTTTATTTTGAATCTCGAATTTAGAATTAAAAACGACTTTTCATTGTGAATTACTTTTCGTTGTGAATTTTTGGGTAGCAGTTATTTAACTACGTAATAAATAACTGAAAAAAGAAATAAATAATAGGGATTCGAAGCATGCGTAGTGTTTATATTGTGTGACGTCACCAGACTAAGTACTTGAAATGAATACAGTAAAAACAGTATCAGTTCTCGATTTATTCTGCGAATGGAGTGAGGAAATAAAAGCAATGTTACTTATACGGCTTAAGGCGTTAAATACGGGATTGAGGGGAGTCTAATACCCTTTCAAGGCATTTGTTTGGAAGCTTTTATCGAGGCCTAAATGGAGCCTCAATGTTTGGTAACGCTGGAATGGAGTACACTAGCGTCTAAGGTTTTATATACTCACCTACATACGTACGTACCGAATAAAGTGAAATGAATGTAGAAGTGTTTTTGTTTGTGCTAGTTATACAAATGAATGCCTTGTTATACTTCGTATTGTTTTTCTCCTAACATTTTATGGATACTCACGATTATTATAGGTCTAAACTTTATGTAATATACAAAAATTAGAAGGTTTATTATATTACAAAATGTACTATTGATATTAGAAGATTTCAAAAGATTTCAAAATATTATTTGCCTAATTGTTACAATCATCTGGAATGCCATTTCTGGGTCGTCAATGTTCCCAGTAGTAGCAGGAATGCTGGAATCGTTTTTCCACGTGAGGCGATTCTTGGAAATCATACAACATAGTGCTACTGACACTACAAATGTACTTCGTGGAAATTGATTTCAGGCGCTATTTACGTAAGTTAAAACTATTATTTTGGTCCTCTCAAGCCACAGAGAACAGGGGGCCTACCACAACGTCTTAATGCAGTCTTATTCTAATCTTACTTAGTATTTTTGTTCCATAACATCTTTTAAAAGAACTTTATAAAGAGTCCTAAAACAATCTTATTTTTTAGCTGTTTTCTTGACGTCACCAACGTATCGTTCGTTCAAACCGTACCATGAGGTGTTTTGTGACGCTTAACAATATTGTTTTTACGTCAAATTTAATAATCTTAAATAAGATGGTCCGGTGCTACTTTAACAACATTGCAAAAATTCGAAAACTTGTTGATAAATTATGAACATCGCTATTATTATCATGGTGATCGTGACATACCATCTATTTTAAACTTACAAAATAAATTTTTGTATTGGTTTTAAGATGCCTGGAAAGCTTGAAGTCACAAACAGTCTCATATTAATCTCAGTCTCCATTAGAACATTGTTGTTTGGGTTCATAAACAACAATAATGGTTGCTTTAATCCTACAAAGCTTCTACCTACTCAGAATACAGATAAATCACGTCACAACAAATCACAGTTTCTCTTTACCCGTAATGGTTTATGAGATTGACACCCACTTCCCAATAGCCTATCATCGTAAAATACTACGGTTAGCAAAATGTCTGATCCGTACCTCGGTATTCATAGCGCGTGGGTGCATCTTATGAATATAAACCGGCTCACAGCTTGTTCGGGTTATCAATCTTGGTAAATTACCTAGCTATCAAGTATTTCGATGGTATTTCCGTTTTGAAGGGAATTTGCAGGACTGAAATTATTACTAACGGCATACCCAACGGACTGGTTGAAATATATTCATATTTAGATTATTATTCCAACTGACTTGGTGCACCTAAAGATTCCAGAATAAGTAACTGAATATCTATTTGATTGTTTTTTGTTCCATATTGCAGTTTGATATAAAAACTAACAAATTGTTGTCTATGCCATAATTGGGTCTTTCGATTTAGTATTTGAGTCTTATCCATAAGCCAAAATACATAGTGTCGAATATTCAATTCAAAAAAATATTTAGAAAAAAAAATCTTCCATAATTAAAAAGTTTAGTACCGTGTACTATTTGGCGCTAAAAACTTACAAACGCAAACGCCATTCGTTAAAAATATCGTATTAGACTTTTCGAAAAAAGAACTTAATTGGAATGTTTGAAAATTACCTGACCTATGTGACGCGCACGCGTTTTCATCCCGTTTAGTTTTGCAGCCAAAATTGCGCGGCCGCACACCGCGATTGTAAAATCTAAAGTTTAGTGCAATAAATTGTACTATTATTATTTGAATTTGTATGATTTACCGTCAAATAACATCTAATAATTTTAACCGACCAATTCTTGTATATCTAAATATGTATACATATATGAACGATCGATTTTTTTGAAAAAGTAGTTTTCTACATGTTTTCGTCATATGCCTGCTATGCACGACATTCAAGTTCAAACTTCGGTCCGAATGTTTCTTTTATTTTTACTGTTTTCTATTTTATAATTTTTGTTCTATTTTATTTTTGATAATATTTCTATATTTCTTCTTTGTTTCTGAACCAATAATTGACTAATAAAAACACCGAGTGAAGCTCAGTCATTCAGATATTGATTTGTTAATGAAGGTATTCTCATGAAATATATCTACATATAGATTGCAAACGTTTGTCAATATATATATATATATATATTCTACAAGTACAATACTATAATATAGTCTACAAGTACAAGTACTACAAGTAGAGCCCTGACGTGAGTAACCAAAAAATTAACCACAAGTCTACAAAGTAACCTTTATTATACAAACAGATACAAGTATGAAGATTTTTGCAGTTATAGAAATTGCTATTCAAAGCTGCATTTTCCTTAACAAACGTACTAAACTAAATGAAATTCCTTCTTGAATTTATTTAACACCGTTTCCTAGCCAACTGGCAAGATGGGCAAGTCAGGGTGACTAACGAACTTGCACAGTCTTTGCATTCTCGCCGCAAGACTTCGTTGTTTACCGACCGTAGCTGTTCAACGACTTTTAATTCTTATTGTCCAGTTGAAGGTACAATCTGAATTGTAAATGGTGTTTGGTCCAGATTCTCTGGCTCTCACAAACAAGCTTTGTGACCTGGACTTTGCATAGATCAGCGATATTGCATCTTTTATTCATAAACACAATTTTTGGTGCCTTATTTCTAAGTGCTTTTGTGTTTACTGAACTTATTGAATTTTTATAAGTTAAGCTGATACTTATTGCACCGTTTTTACCCTAACGAAAATTATGTTTTTTTATAGCATAAGCCGGTAAACGAGCAGACGGATCACCTGATGGTAAGACGGATTGCCACACCAGAAGCGTTACAAGTGCGTTACCGGCCTTTTGGGGATTACGAGTTTGAGGATCGTTGGGGATTCAGGGATTGGGGAGAATGGGGAAGGGGATTATGTTATGAAATAGTTTTGTATAGTTTCTTTTAAATAATCAACCCATAACCACATATATAAATACATATACATAAGTAATCGATTGCGCTTTGTATTCAGAATGCATGTCTAATGTTATATAAATTACCTTATATAAAAAAACTACAACGTTCATTATAAAACCAATAATATTTTCTATTTCGTCAAAAAATTATAGTTATTATTATCTTAACCATACATCGAAATACATTTGTAAAACATAAAAATATCAATATCGTTCCTATAATAAACTTAACCAAACAAATAAATTAGTTTATTCATTTAATGTCTTTAAATACAAAGTTGAAGGGACCCTTGATGTAGTTGAGAGCTTCTTGTACGACTTTCGGTGGGGGTCCGAACCATTCGACTTGGAAGTTCTCTATTAATCGCGCCACAAATGTGTCCATTTCTAGTTCTGCTATGCGACGACCTGGAAAATAAAACTTAACGTTACAATATGTTTGTTTGGTTACTGGATCGAAGTAGAAAGTTACAGATGAGAATCCGGTGACCGCTCTCCACTAACTACATTATAGACCTTATTTCCGATGTTTAGAGACTACTTTTGTATGAACAAATTTAAGGGATGATATTTCAAATATTTCAACAGGTTATTTCTTTTATAGCATAAGCCAGTAAACGAGCAGACGGATCACCTGATGGTAAGCTATCGGCGCCGCCCATGGACACTTGAAACACCAAGGCGTTACAAGTGCGTTACCGGCCTTTTGGGAATTGGAAATTTGCGGATTGTGGAGGATTCGGGGATTCGGGAGACGGGGACTAGGGAGGGGGGTAATTGGGCCTCCGGTAACCTCACTCACACGACGAAACACAACGCAAGCGTTGTTTCACGTCGGTTTTCTGTGAGGCCGTGGTATCAGTCCGGTCGTGACGGCTCATTAATTAGATTAAGTTGATTTTTAGTAATATAATTGGTTGAAAGCATGAACAAAGGCACACCAAGACACTCATTTTTGCCTAGGTATAGGCAAACCAAATGCAGTAATTTGTTTATACATCTATAAAAATGGATTTTGTAAGCATTGTCTTTTTTTTGTAATTACTGATTTTCTCTACGCGAATAATAATAATTTACTTAAAACCTTATTAAAAATGATTTTACTAAAAAGCCACACATTTAATGGTTCATGTTCATGATATACCTATACAGCTTCGTGCGCCAAAACCAAAGGGCCCGTAGGCGAATTGATGGGCATTTCCATAGTGCAATGGATCATCCTTGTTGGTCAGCCACCTTTCTGGAATATACTCCTTGGCTTTTGGGTAGTATTTTTCCATTAAGGACATCTCTCGATGAGTGAAGATGACGTCTACCTGAAATATATATAAAGTTTTGGATAATCAGAAAATAAAGTCAAAGTTAAAGCATTTATTTCAATTAAACCTTATTTTGGTACTTTTGAAACGTCAACAAATACAAAATAAATAAAAGTCTGTCAGTCATTCCGTCAGTGAAGCTAGGTGAAACTAGGTGCTCATTCCAAAATGTGGATTCGAGTGGAAAAGAACGAGCAAGAAACTACAGAGCATTAACATTAAGCCTTTTTTTTGAGGGAAAATCATCGAATGACTTCTCCCGCCCGGGTGAGGCGAGAGGGAGTGTCAGACTCTTAGTGACTAAAAACTACCCCGTTTCTACGCCTGCACTTCGATTAGTCCACTCCGTTAAGTCTTTAAGTTAAGTCTTCCGCGGCTATTAACATTAAGCCTAGAATTGTACCCTGCAATCCATTTGGATTAGACTAATGTCCAAATGTTCAATTTTAACTCGTTGAGTACCGTCATTATAGACACAATTAAAAAACAATAGGTTGCGGTCACCGGTGTCCTCGCGGTGTTTGACAGTTTAAGTCTTTGTAAAATGACAGAGAAGGCACGACATTTAACTTAAAATTGAGTAGTTTTCCAGTAATCAGGACTAGAAGGATCAGTGGGAAAAAGTAAGGGCAAATGTTTTCAAATGATTTTGAATTAACCCGATGTGAAAGGTTACCTTTATATGAACAAGGGAGTCTGTTAATATACTTGTACTTTTTATAATATGTAACTATCGTGAGACATACTAAAACATAAGCAACGTGTGCCGCGACCGCGCACGCTGTTCATGAGGAAGAACCCCTCTGCGGTTCAAAACTAGTAGAGCTTTTCTCAGTATTTTCATGTGAGTAACCCGCGATTTTACTTATTACTTGTACTTATTGCTAATTTATATCCTACCACAAAATATTTATTCAAAAGACCATTAGACTTTGATTTCATTAACTCTTTATGTTATATGTTTTTTTATGGAATAGGAGGCAAACGAGCAGACTGGTCACCTGATGGTAAGCAATCAGCGCCGCCCATGGACATCTGCAACACCAAAGGATTCACAGGTGTGTGTTGCCGGCCTTTTAAAAAGGAATACGCTCTTTTCTTGGAGGTCGTATCGGTTTGGAAATACCGATATGTATGAACCGCTATTTTTAATTTTTGTTCTTTTTCAGCCACAAATCACCTATCCTAAACTTTTGTAGAGAAGTTATTGTCAAAATAGTTTTACGACATATATTTTCTTGATTTTTACATGATTATAGTGTTTTTAGTGCTGGTGGGATTAATTTAGCTTTTGTTTTATGATGATAATTTGGTTAACTGTATATGGTACAATCTTTAATTTTTGTCTTTTATCCGCTATAAGTCACCTAAAAATCTACTTACGCCTTTAGGAAGTTGGTATCCCAGTATATTGTACTCCTTTGTGGTTCTCCTAGCGTTTGCTGATACCACAGGCAAAAGTCTTAGAGACTCCTTGATGCAGGCCCTAAGGTACGGTCTCTTCTCCACATTGGAGGTTACTTCTTCTCTTAATTTTGCTTGTTTGTCTGGGTTCTTGGCCAGAAGGTATAGTGTTGCTGTTACTGTGTTTGCAGCCTGAAATAAAACCCGTTCTTATGTCATTTTACACGATTATAGTATGTTTATTGCTGGTGGGATTAACTGTTTGAATGCCTGTATATTAGACACAATAGAAAATACATATAACACAATAAAAAATAGTTTTTAAAAATCTCAGTAGTAGCACGGAGTCTGGAAATGTGCCCGTAAATGTAAAATGTGAATGGGACTCGTAACATAAATAGTGAAAAGTGGGTGTTACATTGTACAGTGGCATTAAGTGCCGTAATGTGCACCTCTGCCTACCCCTTCGGGGATAAAAAAGGCGTGATGTTATGTTATGTAGAAAATACATTGTGTCTCCACGTCGTGAATCCACGTTTAGACACACGATTTTTTGCCCTTTATCAGCCATAAATCGACTATTCTAAACTTTTGTAAAGAGGTTATTGTTAAAATAGTTCTGTGACGTATTTATTTTCTTAATGTGTCACAATCAGTGATCATGAACCCTTTTTATGTCTTCCATGAATTCACACTATACCATAGTTTACCTCCTCTAGTAAAATAGCAAAGAAAGTAAATCATTATAAAGCTTTGAACTTACCGTATCAACACCCGCAAATAACATGTCGCTGGCCATAATATGAGCTACTTCTTCATTTATTTCCAACAGTTTTTCTAATACTCCCTTCTCATTATCAGGTTTGGTCTTCAATTGTTCTTTTCCTTTGTTTATGAAGTATTTAGTTAAGCTAGAATTATAAGAATCAATATTAACATTTGATCAATATTATAATTGATTTTAAATCAACCTTAATATTTTTGCAGAAAAAACAATATCAAAAACGTTTCGAAGATGCACTCAAATAAGGAAGATTTTTATATGTGTTAAAACTTACTTCTCATGATGCTCATACAGCTTCATAGCTTGTTTGAAAGTCGGTGTTGCGTAATATCTCCAGATACTTGGCTTAAAATCAAGCTCATTGGCTGTAGAAAAGAGGTCGTGGACGCATTGAATCAGTTGCCATTCCGGAGAGTCTGCAGGAAGGTTTGGATCGAAGGAGTTTAGTCGGCAGCCAAGAGCCACCGTACCAATAGATTCTAAAGCCCATAGGTTCATTTCTTTATCGAAATCTTTTGTTATCATGTTCTTTTCATCACGGTTGGCCTTCATCCTGAAAAAGAGTGATAGTAATACTCATAAATAAAAAGTTTTATTTTAAAGAATGGTTAATAATTGGTGGTCCAGTGTAATGACACTGGACCACCAATTATTAACCATTCTTTAAAATAAAACTTTAAATGAAACCGCTAATGCGTTTTTGATCAAACACAGTAGGTACATGACGCATAGCCTGATGCTTTGAATTTAATTAACTCAGATGACCGTCCAAATTAATTTGTTTCGTCAATCATTCAAACACGAATGAGAATATAAGTGATAATTAAAAATGGTCGCTAAATATCCTCCAAATGAAGCATCACATTGTCTCTCAGCTAAAAGGAATGAAATAAAAGACATCCTTTATTTCATCCGGGGAATTTAATTAATAAATAGAGAGAAGGGAAAAGGCATTTGTCTTTTGGCAGAAATGAATGCTTCTCATTATTCCGCCCAATCTCATCCTGATTGAACTCAATGATTAGATGAGTTTCGTGTTCCGTGGAAAGCTATGTATTGGGCACGATATTAATCGTAGGATTTAGGAAATAATGCGCATATTATAGATTATTATTTCTCTTACCTATCATACAGGTATTATCGTGCTAAAACGAATTTGTTTGGGCAGTTTTTAACGTGTCAGTTGTTCAGCCGATTTTATAACGAAACTGAGTGTTGACAAATCTCAATGATTAGGCTTAATTCATTCTGTCTCCTGCAGTAATTCACCGAGGGAAGTGGAAATTATAGTTTTTTCTTCTGATTCATTTCGTTGCGGGAACCAAGACATTTACTCATGTCCCTGGGACGCGCCGGACTTCAATGTTCCGGTGTTTTCATGGTTGTATCTACTGTAGATCCTGGCTTACAGGAGTTGCAGCGGTTTTGGGAGGTTGTGGCGGGCTTGTCCCACATTAAAAAAAAAAATCTCAATGATTTTTGGCGAAAATCATATTAACGAAGTCGCGGATAAAACTCAAGCATATAATTTATACATAGCAACATAGGCTATATACGGTTATAAATCGGTTTAATTAATCAATATGTCTAATTAGCCACAGTTGCAATAATGAAACATCGTCAAGAAGAATTCTATAGCTATTTATGTATTTGACAAATGTAGAAAGATTGTATATTTGCCAAAACCACTACATCTACTTTCATAAAGAACGTGCTTAGTTCTGGACGAGTAGTACCTATGGTGGTTTCTAATCGGACAGGATGAGATGGGATTAAACCGCAGGCAGAAGCTACTGGCAGAAGAGTATTAAACAACTTACCTAACTATCATATCCTGAGCCACTTCATCCAGTACTTTGGCATATAGTTTGATCGTCTTAGGCTGCAACATCACCGGATTGACGGTTGATCGGAACTCTTTCCATACTTCGCCATGACTGGAAAAAAAAATTTCCTTATTGGCTTGTCTTTGACAAGATGCAGCAGTAATTACAGAGTAAGATTTTTTGGTTGCCAAGTTTGCTTCCAAGATCGAGTATAAGAGATTAATATATGTAGAAATATTCAATTAAAAGAAAATTGTACTTGTAAATAAAGGTAAGCTATATTCGGCACGGATTCAATGTTTAATTTTAATTATTTTTACCCGGAATGATACTACGTTGTGTTTCGTCGTATGGATGAGGCCCAAATAGCCCCCTTTCCCAATCTCCCCAATCCCCGATTCTCCAACATCCTTCAAATTCCTAATCCCCAAAAGGCCGGTAACGCACATGTAACGCCTTCTGGTGTTCCAGGTGTGCATAGGCGGCGCCGATTGCTTACCATCGGGTGATCCGTCTGCTCGTTTACTGGCTTATCCCACAAAACACCCGTTACTTTACTTTCAAAATCAGTATGTGTGATTTAAACATATTTTTAATACATCAACTTACTCCGAAATAAGTCCTGTTACGCGTCCTTTATCTTTTTTGTAATTGGTTCTATAAAACTCAAGTGACTGAAAAACAGGACGGTACGGCAACCAGTTTTCACTCCGTAAAACCTGGAAAAAGAAAGATGAAAGGAAATGGTGATTTTGTTTGGCTAGACCTAACTGTTTAGGTAGGCTTAGCCTGCAGGCTTCAAATAAAGTATCTACCTAAGTATTGTTTTCGTTACTCTTTAATATTTTTTATATTTGATTTGTACCAATGTATTTATTATATTTATTTACTATCTGTTCCCCGCGACTTCATCCGCGTATAATAATGACTTCTGGCAAATTTTGAATTTTTCTATTAGTCTTTTGAGGTTATCTAAGGTTTTTGTTAGTGAAATGTTATTTATTTCAATGATTTGAAACAATAAACAATCCTATAGGTATTTTTTCCGTATAGTGAGTGAGGTGAGGTGAGGTTTCAGTGATTAAAACTCCATTTGAATTTCAATCAAATAGGTATAATGAATACAACGGCACAAAAACCAATTACACTACTTAATAATTATATAATTGAAAGAAAGAATATAATACATGATATAAACAGTGCTTGGGTGTTTATTCCTATTGCAATTCCGATTCACCGTAAAAATGAAAAAAAAAATGAGTTCCTCGGTTGACTTGCATGATCATAACCACTGCCCATGATAAAAATCAACAAACGAATTGTATCAAGGATTTTTCTTTTCACTACAAATAATATGTTTACGAATAATCGTATTGTTATAATAATAATAATAATAATAAGCCCGCAGGGCACCTTGAGGCGAGGTGACGGGCATTAGCGATCCCGCGGGCTACCATCATCCCGAGGGCTCCAGGGAGAAGTCACCGTTCCTTCTTCTCCGGCTAGCCTTAATTGGCTGGCTGGAGTGAACGATGACAAGGAACAGGTCTCCCACCTCTGGCTTGCCTTCATTGGCCGTCCAGAGTGGAGTCGCGAGAGCAGTGATCCTGCTCGGAGGGTAAGAAACTATTCGTAAGTCGCGAGTGGGCCAGGGATGCAGGAGGCTTCGGCTGGAGCAGATGATCTGAGTAGAAAGCGGTGGTAGTTTCTTAACCCTTCAGCCACTCACATTCTCGTTGCCCCTCTGTTGCTATATCTAGCAACCATTCCCGGGGCCCGGTCGGTGAGTTGGCGAGTCTCCGCCTGCCATTTTTACGTGTAATAATTACATTGTTTCGGCAGGTGCCATAGTCATCCATAGTTCCCAATTTCCCAGTCCACAGCAACCCATCCATAGCCCTACCTTTTTTTTCCATTATCCACAATAGTTTTACACAAACCGGGGGCTGTCCTTGGGTGCATTTCCATAGTGCATACAGGGATAGTCGCCGGTTTGTGTGTCCACTACATTTATATTAAAGTTGTCTAAAGGGCCTCTGCGCAGTTGGCTTCGGCCCCTCGTACGCCTCCCAAATGACCGGGACCCTGTGGTCCCGTGAATGGTAAAGACATACATAATAATAATAATAAATTTTTATTTGGAACAACATAGAAACCATTTTGTATGTTATGTACTTGAATATTCAAAAGGTCGTGGTCATACCTATCTATGATAAGAATTATCAGAGACATTGTAGAACATACTTTTTTAAAAGAGTTACGAATGGAGTTTCTTGCTCGTTCTTCTCCATTCGAATCTACGTTTTGGAATGAGCACCTAGCTTCACCTAGCTTCACTGACGGACTGACTGACAGACTATTATTTATTTTGTATTTGTTGACGTTTCAAAAGTACCAAACTATGGTTTAATTGAAATAAATGCTTTGACTTTGACTTTGACTTTGACTCACTCATAACGCTATCAGATAGTGATCACGTTTTCTTATGTCTGTACTAATATTATAAAGAGAAAAGATTTGTACCTATTTTTGTATGTTTGTATGATTGTAATAAATAGGCTCAAAAAGTACCGGGCCGATTTAAAAAAATCATTCACCAATAGAATGCTACATTATTCCATTTGACATAGGCTGCATTTCATTTTGAAAAAAAATAGGGGTCCTTGGTAAAATTTGAACAATGTAACCGAAGGTGTAAAAAATGAGTTTTAAAATGTCTTTCGCGGAATGCGCTGCCGAAACTATTAGCGATAGAACAAAATAATGTCCAACAATATTGAAGAGCATCATAATGTCTACAAAAAACTCCGCGCTAGCATATGTCCAACTATTGTAGTTATGTCACTACAACAATCCAAATTTCCAAAAATAAATAATTGTCTACCCCGTGCGAAGCCGGGACGGGCTGCTAGTACATTATATACTCGAATAATAACATTTTAAAATGGGTTTGTTTAATATCATCATCATCGTCATCAGCCCGGTTTTGTGTAGTCAATATGAATTACCATGCGATAGAACAGTGTCTTCGAAGTTTCGCTTGATACCTTCTTTACCTTTACTAGACACAGTACAACCAACAAATACACACTAATAAACACTTGCACAGACTTTACACACATTCGTCCCATCTTCTCACATTTCAATTTCATCATCATCATCAACAGCCTATAAATGCCCAATGCTGAGCAAAGCCTCTTCTCAAACGGAGAAGGTTTGAGCATTAATCACCACGCTTGCTCAATGCGGGTTGGTGATTTCAAACTTATAATTAGAAATTATAAGTCTAGGTATATAAATCCGTTTGTCAGTGGTGTCTAAATATTCTTAGAAAGTACACATTACTCGGAAAAAGTCATATTGGTACTTGCCGTTGGTAGGTTTCGAACCCGCATCCTCATGCAAGAGAAGTGGGCGTCTTAAACTTCCGGACCAATTTAGCATAGTATATTACATTAAGCATGCAGATTCTTTTCGTAAACAGGTGGAAAATGGATTATGTTTGATAGCCGCGATACAGGCTATGCCTAGTGCGGTTTTCATAGCTCAAATTGTAAAATTGTAACTGGTTTATAAATAAATTATTTCTTGTTCTTCTTTCTTATTCTTATTTCCAAGTACAGTACCTACAGTGTCTGGTGTGTCCATGTCGAAGTCTCTTGTTATACCTCTACATATATTATATAGTTTTATAAATGAATGTTTAGAATACATAAGATAATTAGGTATGCATTGGTTATTTGACTGCCTCGTTGGCCGAGTGGTCGCCAGTGCGACTGCCGGGCAAGAGGTCTCGGGTTCGATTCCCAGGTCGGACAAATTATTTACTGGAGTCTAGAATAGTGTCCGGTATATGACAATAGGCTCATAACATAAATACTTACAGGGGCTTTCGTACGCGGCAGTGATTGTTGTGAATACAGCGGAGAAGAAACAGCGGATACACGACAGTGTATCGCACGCCGTGGTAGCTATATCCCGTCACACTAACAGCTGTGTTTACTACACGAATATCAGTGACGACGCGATCAGCAAATTAATCAGACGAGCGGTGGGTGAGAGTGAGCGGGGGATCCTGGACTATAACTTGAAAATGGCTATCAGCAACAGCGACATGGCGGTAGTGGGCGCTCTTTTGGATGGGGAGGGCCCGCTGTAAGCTTAAATTGTGATGCAAGCGTGACATTAATATACCTCTATATTTGTGTGTGTTTAATAATGTTAAAATGTAGTAAATATAATGTAACGTAATGTAAATTTTATCAATAAGACTGACAAAATCCATTGGCACCACTGGAATCGGCTTACTGCTGCGTGAGCAGACTTCATGCATTCTTAAATGTTCTACAGTCGGTGGCGCTGTGGACTGGGTCGCTCCGTTCCCTACGAAATGGTTGATCGGATCGATTGCTGGCCCTCACGTCATGCTCGTGAACGGGCGCCTTCTGCTGGAGCAGGTCGGCTCGCTCATCGCGCGTGTGGGCCGATCCAGTAAGGTTAATGTAAATGTAATAAAACATGTATTGTGTATATATAAATATTAGATTTAGACACAACCTTCTTTGTGAAAAAAAAAAAA